AGTTACACACCTTTGGATTGCATTTCGCCGTCACCTTCTCCCCCACCCCACCTCCCGGCTCTCGCTTGAACGCTCCCCCCCGCTTTCCTTTTAGCTTTTGTAAGTTACACGTCAAAATGGCCGATCTGACATCGGTGCTCACTTCTGTTATGTTTTCTCCCTCTAGTAAAATGTTTATCGGTGGACTGAGCTGGCAGACCTCACCAGGTAAGGGAGGGAGGGGGGGACGCCTGGGTCCCCCCCTTCTTGGCTTCTTTATTGCTCTTTGTTATCCCAGTGTAGGAGCACCCCCCCCCCGCCATTGGCTCCCCACTTCTCCTGTGCAAGGTTATTTTTTTAAATAGCAAATCCTTTCTGAGCCCTCTATGCGACCTCTGTTGCCGAATTTCCCCCGCGTGTGCAAAAAACGCAAAAACAAAACAGAATAACAACAGAAAACTACTTTTGGTTTTTGTCCTTGATCAAAATTTGCATTGCTTTTTTCCCCCACACCTTCTCCCCCCACCCCCATCTCTCTCTTTCTCTCTCTACAGATAGCCTTAGAGACTATTTTAGCAAATTTGGAGAAATTAGAGAATGTATGGTCATGAGAGATCCCACTACGAAACGCTCCAGGTAAACCATTCCCTTCTGGATTTTGCCTTTATTTTAGAACAAAGTTTAAGTGTTATTTTTGGAGGCGTCTTAAGTAGCTAAGCGGATTTAGAATGGGGCTCAGGCATGTGGCTGGTTTCGAACGTTGCTCTATTCCACCCCCGTCCCCATAACCTCAAAGGTTATTGTAAATTGGGGCTTGAACTCTGTCTGGTTATAGAGATCCCAGCTCTCTGCCTTTAAGTCATTTCCCCGTCGCTTCTTTTTCTCCTGTTTAAAATGACATTCAGCTTCATTCACTTTCCACGTAGTTTTTTTTTTTTTTAATGCTTCTTCCCACTCCTAGCTCCCCAAACTCTTAAACCCCTATTAGGGAGCTGGATGAATCTCTCCTAAGTGCCGGGTTTTCATCGGAATAAAACAAAGCGTTAAGAAAGGAAAGGGGAGGAGGAAGAGAGGAAACTGAGGTGGCGAAAGAGTGGAGGCACCAGCTTTTTCCAAGTTACCTCCACTAGCTCTGCCCCCGTCCACTTCCCCCATTAACCTTGGTGTAGTTTCTTGCGAGGTGGAGGGCTGGAGACCGGAGGGCGATTGGAGGCGGACTGTGGGGGGCGCGGGGGAACTTTTGTTCCCCATTCTGCGGTAGGGCTCGCTCCCTGTTGCTTTCAATGGTGTCACATTTTCTTGTTTGTTTTTCTCCCTCTTTGTCTCATTTCAGAGGCTTCGGTTTCGTCACGTTCGCAGACCCAGCAAGTGTAGATAAAGTATTAGGTCAGCCCCACCATGAGTTAGATTCCAAGACGGTAGGTTGCTTTTCCTTGTTGTTGTTTGCCCCTTTTCAGGACCAATCTGAGCCTTGACAGCCCCACTTAAAGGGACAGTGCCTTCTTTTGCTTCTGTGCTGAGAGCCAGGTACTTTTAAGCAGAGCTTGCGAATTGGCACTAAAGTTTGCTACCATCGCTGGGGTTGGGGTTTTCTTTTTGGAGCCTGTCCCAGTGGCTGCCAAGCTCGACTTGGGGGAGGGGTCCATTGGAGGGGGGTGGTGGTGGTGCTATTTTCAGGGCCAAGTGACCCTGCAAAGAAACTCCACCACTGAGCAAAGGCAACTTTTCTTTGTCAGCTGAGGGAGCAGAGAGGGAGCATAGAGCAGCTTAACCAACTGTGGCTATGGGAACTGGCTTTCAGACGGCACAGCCTGCTTCCTGGCTCAGCGGGCCAGGGGTCAGGAAGAATCCAGGGGGCGTTAATCCAGGTCCAGGCAACAGGTTCCTCCTGGGGCACTTTGGTTTTGGAATGGGGTTTGAGAAGGAAAGGAGACGCTCCCAGGCCCAAACTGGGCATCCAGTGGCTGACTCCAGTTGGCGTGAAATCTAAGGCTGATAAGGCCTTGGGTTTCAAAGTGATTTGTTTTTTTCCTTTTCTTTCTCAGATTCTTTATTCTGAGTGTAGGTACTTTTATAGAATTTTGGGTGACATTGGGATGCAGTGCTGGGCTACTTGGGCCTCACTTCTCTGGTGGGGTAGTGGGACAAGGCAAGGGACTGGGTGCTAGTCCCAGCTGCCCCTTTCAACCTTTGGCAAGTTGTTCTCTGCCTCAGGCCTCACTTTCCTCTTCTCTAAAATAAAGGAGTGGAACCGAGATGATATTCCAAGTCTCTTTTTTAAAAAAAAAATTTTTTTTTTATTGATTTCAGAGAGGAAGGGAGAGGGAGAGAGAAATAGAAACATCAGTGATAAAAGAGAAGCACTGATCAGCTGCTTCATGCAAGCCCCACACTTGAGCCCACAACCCCAGGCAGATGCACTTGATCGGAATCGAGCCCGGGACCCTTAAGTCCGGAGGCTGACACTCTAGCCACTGAACCAAACCGGCCAGGGCCCCAAGTCCCTTTGGACTTGAACATTAAATAGAAGAAAAATAAAACAAAAACCTGGCCACTTTTGGTGTGCCTGCAATGACTGTAAATTTACCCTCTTTGGATAAGACTCCACACACTCTAAGTTGCTTTATTAATTGTATTGGATTTGTCACAGCCCCTGGCCCAGCCTTTTGGTCCTTTTAGGACATATAATTTCAGGGACAGTCGTTTGTAGGATGATAATGGATATTTGAAGAATTATTTTGCTCTTTGATTTTTGGCTAGACATTTCAAAAAGCTAGTAAAATTAAAGGGCAAATGTTTCAAAGCAAATTCGGGAATGTATTATCCATTCCCTCTCCCCACCCTGGGTAGGCCAAGGAGTATTTGGTTTCTACAGTAGCTGGTGTGTCATATCCCTCACTATCAGGTGCAAAGCCTGCAGTTTCCCCTCCCTAATTGTGTGTAGACGTGTTTTAGTTCCTGTGATTTAGTATAACATAGCTTTTGACTTTGTTTCAACCGTTCAGTGCAGGAGGCAGAAGCGGTTGGTTTATTGACATGGAAACAGAGGATCTTGTTTACCGTTACCTTAAAAGCTTTGTTTAGGTAATGGCCATTCCCATCCAAAATAGTACCCTAGTCCTTTCCTAGAGGATCTGTAGCTACAGTAAGTAGAGCTGAACCTAACTAACTAATGTTTTAATTTTTGGTAGTTTTCTTTTTTGTTCGTTTTAAAAATATAGTTGACAGGGATGTGCAAAAGGTTGGGATTTGCCATGCTTACCTTGACCTGTCCTCTCCCTTAGAGATCTCAGCACACCGAAGAGCTCTCATTGTGGAACACACGCTGTTATCGCGACATCCAATGCAGGAATTCCGAATTGGCTTTGAGTTTTGTAATTTTAGATATTTTTGTTTAGTGCTCCATTTTTCCCTACTCCCAGCCCCCTCCAGCTCCTGGCCTCTTCCCTAACATGTCCCTCACCTTTTACCCGACAAACAAGATGACTTATTATTGCAATTGTGTGCCTGTCAACTAAAAAAAAAAAAAAAAAGACTTTGAGAGTGTTTACGAAGAGAAGAGACGTATCTGTCTTACGCTGGGTCAACAGAATGGAAATCCACACCTGTTGTATTTCTCTCGTAGACAGCTCTAGTCAGCGCTGAATACACCTGTAGATGCGGTAATGTTAATCTCGATGAAAGGATAGTTTCCTAGATCAGAGATTTCTCCCTCTTAGTGTTTGAAAACTAATCTCTCATTTCTCAGGTGATGTTGAAAGGTAGAAAACAAACACACTGCAGACCTTTGTTAGGTCTTTAAACCGCTTCAATGAAAGCGGTAGGTCCCTGTATGTCTTACCCGCCAGGGTCCTACGGGATGCGAAGTCTGCCAACAAGAAGGATCTGTCTGTGCTTTTCCTCCCTCTGTGCTTTCTCCCAGAGCATTACTCTTATTTATTTATTTAACCCCCTGGCAGAACTGAAATGAAGGTTCAGATTTACATTTTAAAGGGGTGGGGGGGGGGATCTTAATCTGAGAGGCAAAGCCTGTAAATAACTACGTGGCAGCAACATTCATGCCACTCTCCCCATTGGATCTCACCCAGTGACTCATGACATTTAGAAATCTAATGAAAACCAACGTTGGGAATCTTTTTTTATTCCTTCCCTACCCATATTTTCTATTCAACACCTTTTCCCCAGCCTACTAGATTCAGATGCTTCTGTGGGAATTGTTTGAATTTTAAAGCCAGCCCCTGATTGAGACTCGTGTTCTGTAAGTGGTCTAATCTAGGGTTGAGGATGTTTTCCCACTGGGATTGGGGTTAGGGCAGGAGAATACCCTGATTGTTATGCTACATTCTCATTTCTTTTTTTAGTAAAAATTTTTTAACCCTCTCCCCTTGATGATGTTTATTTGGGTTTAGGTTGCTTATAGATTTTTTTTTTAACCCCTCTGTAATTTTTAAAATCCAGGTGGATGTTAGCTCCTGTGTTTCCTTTATTTTAATATTATTGTTATTATTTTTAAGAACCAAGTGGGGCTCCATAGCTTTTACTACCTGTTTTCTCTTGAGATATAACTACAGAATAAACTATCCCTTTGATTAATTTTAGATAACTTTTGCACAAACGTATGAATTAATTCAAGCAGAGTATTGCATTGGATGTCTATGGAGTGTTTTGGGATGTCATTGATTTTCAAAATTTTTGGAATCACCTTCCCCTCCTGTGCTGTTTAGTTCTCACCGGGGAGAAGAAATACCATCCAGCTACTGCTGGAAGAGTCTTACATTTAATTTTCAGGCTATGATTTTTTCAGTGATTATGTTCCCATCTTTTCCTCCCAACCATGCATTGCAGATTAGATCGATGCGTTCAGTATCTGTATGATTCAGTGTCTGTGGGCCCTGGCCTACGGAAGAATCCATGAGATCTGGCTCATTAACAGCATCACACATTGAATAACATGGTAGGACATTTCAGAAAGGCTAGCTATATTTATTACATTTTTGGGGAGAAACCATTATGTCTGGATCCAAGTTTAAAAAACTTTTCTGGATTGCCCGAGATGTTACTAAAAGCTGGGTTCAAAGCCTGAGAAATGAGTGATTAATAATTAGGTGATTAATCATAATTTTTTTGCCTCTCCTGAAAGTATTGCAATTGACTCCCACTTTTCCATTTTCTCCTAGATTGACCCCAAGGTTGCATTTCCTCGTCGAGCGCAACCCAAGGTAAGTAGGAGAACTGGCAATAGGATCGTAGCACTCAGACATGGTTGTCAAGGATTCCAGGTTTCCAACACAGCTCTGGCAATGCACCACTGAATCCCGGTGCACACACTTCCTGGTGACAGCACGTGGCTGTGCGAGGCCAGGCGCTTGGAGATAACCTGCGTCTGCAAGTCAGCCACCCGGAGGTGGGTTCTGCGCATACAGCTAGGGCAGGGACAAGCCTGATCCTTAGGGGGAGGACACAGCTCCGTCTGGTGCAATATCTATGCAAGTGTTCTATTCATTTTTTAAGCATTGCCAAGATCATATCAGGAAAAGTTGGACATTTCCTTGTGACCCTTTTTGGAGGGGACTCTTTTGAGGCCTTACGACTTGGAGTTTATGGAGAGGAGGGGAATGTTAGTAGCTTGTCCTCTCTAGGAAAAACAACTTCGTAGACCCACACAGCCCTAAACCTGACCGGGGAATCTGTGGATGTCTGGCTTTCGGGTTGGTTGGATAAATAAGGGCACACTTGAAACCCGCTCTGCTACTGCTCTTGCAAGTGCTGGTGCCTGGGCGGAGAAGCCCTGCAAATGTTGTAAGCTTGTCCGAGTGGTGCTACAAGGCTTGCTTAAAGGCTTGAGATGGGCCTTCGCTTTTTCAGAAGTGTGTCGCTAGTAGTTCTCACTGAGCTTGCCAGGTGTGGCTGTGGGAACACAGCTGCCCGAGCCTGAGGTGAAATGCGAAGGGCTTATGGCTTACCTTTAAATTTGCACTTTTGCATTAAACTTTTTTTCTTTCCTGTATAGCATTGGAAGAAAGACTTTATCTGCACCTTGTGGCCTTGGCATTCTTTAGGGAAAGGGGAAAAGGTGAAGCTCCCGATTGTAGGTCATAAAGAAAACGGGCTGTGGCTTTAGCAAACTCAGTTTATTTCTTTAAGCTCGGTCTCCCAGCAGTGGAACCTTGTGATTGTGTTACAGGGAGGAGTGGTTTTGCACATTAGTGAAGAAAAAGTTGGAATTACGGATGGTATTTTGAGAATTTCAGGTCTGTTTCTGCCATGCGATTCCCTCCCTCCCTCCCTCCCTTTCTTCTTTTTCCTTTTTTTCTTACTTTTCTTCCTTTCTATCTAAGAAAGCACAAATCCCTTAAGTAAATAGAGTGGAATCCTTTTTTTAAGGCATTTTTTTTTCTAATGTTAAGCGAATAAAAGGAATTAATGAGCCAAAGCAGTTCGATTATTTCTGTACTGAGCATGAACTTTGGGACTGTCTGAACTGCTTAAAAGTTGCTTTCTGAACTCTGGGTGACCCTTGACATTGCAGAAGGCTTCCAGAATAAGCAGCATTTCCTGGGTTTGGGAGATTTGCTGTTTCTTCCCTAAGTATGAATCTTCAAATTTCCAGGTTAGTCATTTGATCACCCAGAACTGGGGTCAGATTACTCTAGAGGGAAACTGGAAAAATCCCTGACTTGGTCAAACCATGGGTTTGACTTGTTTTCTCCTCCCACTTGCTCCTCCCCCCATTTTTTTTACAAGAAGGCAGTATTTTTTTTTTTAATTAGATGAAGGATTTAGCAATTTTAATTGCTTCTTAAAGACCGAGACTTTTTAAAAGAGGTTTTTATTGATTTTAGAGAGAGGAAGTGAGAGGGAGAGAGAAAGGAACATCAATGTGAGAGAGATATGTGGATTGGTTGCTTCTCATTGAATCCACAACCTGGGCATGCGCCCTGACCGAGAATCGAATTGGTGATCTCTTGGGGCATGGGGCGACGCTCAATCAACTGAGCCACATCAGCTAGGGCATATTTCATTTTACTATATCACGGCATTTGGTTTTTCAATGATGCATTCAACTTGAACACGAGACAGGATATTTCTTAAACTTGTCAGCGTGTACACACACCTATCTCCCCCCTACATACTTAGATGTGAGGAAACAGTAAACCAGTTGGGGAAGGACATCTTTCCATGGGATTCTAGGGATTTTATCACAATACCTTGTTTTTTATGATACACTTTACAAAGGACGTTCCTATCCATGACCTCCATCTGAATCTCAGGTCCTGCGACATTGAGCAAATTGCCTTCTCTCAGTCTCAGTTTGCTCATCTGTAAAATGGAAGTGATGACAGTATCTCCCTCAGAAGGTTGTTGTGAAGAATAAAAGCCTGGCACAGGGTGAGGGCCTCGTAACTAATCATCATCACCACCACCACCATTATTGTTGGTTTAATCATTTTTGTTGTTATTGATATTATCAAGCTGGACAGCCTGACTTTCGATCCCGGCTGTGCCACTCATCAGCTGTATGAGTTTGGGCAAATCATTGAACTTCCCTGCAACTCAGTTTTCCCATCTTGTTGAGTTTTTGTGTGGATTAAATAAATGATTAAAGGTAAAGTACTTAAGAAAAGACCCGGTGCAGTGTAATACCTCTGTGTTACCTGCTGTTTTTACTGTTATTTTAATTAGCCCCTCACCCCAATTCCGTGAGAGGGCTGGTAATAATAATAATAACGATATGAGTTGAAGTGCCAGGCTCTGTGGAGGGACATTATGCATAGTAACTCCTTTTGTCTTCACCTCTGTCCTGTGAGGTGGATAGTAGCACTATCTCTCTTTTATAGATGAGGAAACCCCAGTGCACGTGGGTTGAGAAGTGTTACCGGGAACCCACCCAGGCAACCTGGCTCCATGCTGGGCCCTCTCCCAGGAGGTGTCAGAGTGGTCACCAGGCTGTGAGGGGCAGAACCACAGCCAGCATCTCAGGACTTTGAGGTGCCGTGGTTGGGTGATTAGCCCAACCCCGATGATAACATCCCGTTGTTGGCACTGTCTGCTAGCAGCTCTCCGTCTGACCCCCGGGGCATCTTTTCAGGTGGTTCTGGAGTTGCTCGGCCCCCGGGAGGCAGCTGGGGAAATGGCGAGGTGTGTGGTGGCTGGGAATCGGGGCAGGTGGGGAGAGAGCACCTTCCTTGTCCACTGTTATTTTCTGATAGAATCTGAGCCCAGCCACGGGGATTTCAGACTCATTCATGTTGGAGGCCAGAACCCGCTGGCAGGAATAGAGAACTTTAAGTCAAGACTTATTTATTTCTTGTTTATCTCCCTTCAGTAAAACTTCTGCGTGTGCGTGTTAAGGTCCCAGGGGCAAGGTGAGCTGTGCCCCTCCTCGACGAATGGGTGAGGAGCTTGTAGATGACATGTCAGCGTGTGTTTCGGTTACAATTCATTTCAGTGCTTTCTGGCCACCCCTCCTTGCTGACACTCGCCAGAGAAATATTCCGTGGAGGTGTTAAAACAAGACCAGTGGAAAGAAACTGTAACTTAAGATGAAAGAAAATCCCTGGCAGTGAAGAACAGATTTCGTATTAGCACTGTCATAATATTCTTTAATGTATCACATAAATAAAAACCTGTTTTGACCAGAATTTTAACGAGCGACCAAAGGAGGAGTTTTGAATCCCGCCGTTCATTTATCCCCTTTGCGATGTAAATGTTCACGTCTCCAGTGAAGTGCGATGGGCTTTATTAGCCAGTCGAGGGGCGACTCTTCAGAGACTAGTGGCCGCTAATTAGTGAAGTGCATTTTGATCAGAAGAAGATGGGTCTGTTCTGTCTCTTCCTATTTCTCCAGATGATGATTTCATTTTGTGAAATATGTAAGAGTTTCCCCCTCTATCTTTTTAAAAATTAAAATGGTCATGCTACTCTAAAAAGATGACTTAATTTGAAGCCGTTGGAGAAACGGAGATGATTGGGATCAATCATGTCACATATCCTTCCGTCCCTTTGGACGGATGTGCTGGCGGCCTGGAAGAGTTTTGCTCAAGCTTGTGGGTCCTTTTTCTTGTAGGACAAACCAAGAAACTGCCTAGGATCTTGCAGCAAGAATGGGTCTGGGCATAGCTCTGTCTGCCCTCATTGTCCTTGTGTATAAGAAAGTATTCCCATTTTGCTCCTTAAGTCTTAAAGGCCATAACCGTTCCCAGTTGCCTTCTGTGGCAGCTGGTGACCCAGGCACGTTACCTCCGCCCCGTCTAGCCTTGGTTTCCTTCTCTTTAAAACAGGGACCGTGTAGTGCTTCCCCTGGAGCTGTTTCCAAGGTGAACGCGGCAAGTTTCTGTCTGGCACCGGCAAAAATGTCTGCTGATATTATTATTAATTGAATTATTTTTGTGAAATAAAAAAAAAATATGATGGTGAAAATGCCCTAAGAAAATTCTTAATGGGAACAGAAGCCCCCTGATGGCAGGGGGCTGTTGCTGTTTGGCGGTTGGTAACTGTTAAGTGCGTGAGTGGAACCCCGCCTGCCTTCTGCACAGTGGAGGCAGCTGACACCCAGGGAAGTTCTGTTCGCTGCCCGGTCACACGGCCTCGTTGCGGCAAGGCTGAGCTGGAAGGCAGGTTTTTCTGTTCCCAGGAAGGTTCTGTTGAGCAGGCATCCAGATGGGTGCAGCGCGGCACGGGCGTTTTCCACGCGCACCTCCTGTTCCGCACCTCCTGTTCCGGGGGAGCGGTTTCTTGGCAGCTTCTCAAGGGCGAGGGGTGAGTTTTCGGCATCTGGCCTTCCCCACTGCTGTGGGTCGGGTCATGCTAGCGTCTTACCATCTTGGACGATCTGCAGCTGTCATCTGGGCAGCCACAGTTAACAGATCTAGGGTGGGTTTCTGGTTCCCCGTGGGGGGAGGTGGCGGTGTGTCTGCAGCCCGTGTCCACACTGCCAGGACCCCGGGGGTTAGTGGCTTAGCCTCTTTCTTGTCGGGGACAGCAGCTCCTTCCTGCGTTCCTGCCAGCAGCAGGTGTCAGCTCAGAGGGAGGGGCATCTCGTCCTACAAATGTCCTTTCCCGGATTCTGCCTTTCCTCACGTGCTCTGGTTTCAGTGTTAAGGTCGTTCTCCTGTGTTCTGTGTCAGAGAGTTTGGCAGAAGGGTGAGAATCCCTGTCCCCCATGAAGGGAGGAGGAGGAGGAGGAAGAAGAGGAGGAGGAGAAGGAGGAAGGCACTCT